TGACCGAGTATTTAGGGCAAAATGTGCCTTCATATTTGGCTTCGTATAGCGTTTAATACAGTTTATAATGTTTATATTTATAAAACCAAAGTCTGGGTTTATAAACTGAAACACAACCTTTAGTTTTTGATATTCTTCATAGTCGAGTTTAAATTGGCCTAATTTATAGTTAGTTGCCACTAGAAATGCGACGATATTTTGTTATATCATATATGCAACAGTGTTTACAACTTTTGAATAATATGTGATTTGGTTTTGTTTCAGATACTATTAATACATGTTGCTTCATTTTACCATAAATTGTGTTAAAAAAGTGATTTGCTCATTTGGCTGATGTTACAGTTTTCTGATGTGTTTTGTTTGGATGATATTAGAACAATTTCAATATGAAAGTGCAGGTGTCTTTAGACATGAGCCATAATGTATATATCAAAATACTAATAAAATCCGTTTCCAGCTTGATTGTATTTGCATTTGTTGTATTTGCATTGTTGCAGACAAAGTTGTGCAATGGTGGGCTTATGTCACATACTCGTATGTAATTCCATGTGCCTGCATGTACAGTACTTTGATGCCTCAAGAGATGCTTCAAATGTGTAATAAAGGGCTGTTCGCAGGAGTTGGGCTGTCTGGCCTTAAATTGCATTGTTTTTATGATATTTTAAGATTGTATGCATGTGGCTGGACCAACTTGCCATTGCCACAATGTCTGATGTTCAAACAGGCTTTAAAATCAGGTTACAATGCATGCTTGAAAATATGCAACAATTTCACTGCTAATAATATTCCAGAAAATCCTGCCTCTTGGGCAGATCTGGACTGATTTGTCAAAGGGGGTTGGAGGTTTTCTACTTGTGATCGGGCAAAGGGAGCTAAGCCAAGGGTGCTGGGTCAGAGTCAAACTCATGTGAACAGCTTCTAAGTCCTAATTATATTTATAAATTATGTACACTTTGGGATGGTACTGCAATTTGTAAAATATTCCACATTTTATTTAATAAAATTTAATTATATACATTGTTTTTGTTGTTTATATTAACACCTTGGACAGTGTATATTTACACCTAATCCTTTGGACCCTGTATATAAGCACCTTTGGAGGGTGTACCCATTCTAAGCCAAAGACGTGTAAGAACAATTATCAAGGTATTTGCATGATAAAATATATTTAAAACTGCTCTCCATATACATGTAATGCATGGTTCAATTCTTGCTTTTACCAAGTAAACCCAGGGATTTTCAATGTCCCCCTCCTCCCGTAGAATTCACTTGAAGTGACTGGGGCAAGGTAGCTATAAGTATAAGTAGTTATATTAATTTAATTAAAGTCAATTAAAATTTACAAATTGAGCTTTTTGAATATAGACCATTGCAAATTTTTTTTTAATTTGTTTAACCCTTTATAGTGGCAATGTCCCTACTTTAGTATATTATTCCGTCTGGTGCCAGACAATTTTACTCAAGGGCAGAATGTATACTTGCCACAAGTCGACCTCGAACGAAACGTTGGCTCACACTCGCTGCTTGCGTTTCGTTTGAGGTCGACTTGTGGCAAGTCTAGGCAGAATGCTGCCACTCAATGAGTTAACATATTCTCAGAACAATTACCATCAAATTTAATCTATTTTGCTGGCAAAATTGCCTTGGAGGGGGTCCTTGATTTGTTGAGTTTTTTTTTTTTTGGGGGTGAGTGTTGTAAAAAACAGAATAGCAACTGGTTTCAGAATAGGAAGAATTGTTGTAATATAGGTAATATAATTCTAAGACAAATCATCCAAAGGAAGCAATCATTCTAGCTCTTGTAGTGTATGTTGCAACAGGGATGAATTTACTGGGGGGGGGGCTGTGCACTCCCCTAGCCCTGGCCAGGGTGGGTGCAGGGGGGTTCTATTTTTCATGATAAAGCAAAAAATTATTACAGGCAAAATGAGATACAGTAATTTGAGTAATAACATGATGATAAGCGAGCTGTGAACAACAATTACAATTCAAATATAGTAGTAAAGCAAGACTTTGCAGTAGTGAAGCAAGTTGATGGGCGGGCGGCACACATGACCAACACAACTCGGCACCAGAGCTGGATACATCCCTGTGTTGCAAAATGTATTTTCTTCATAGTCAGGCATTCACATGAATGAAGATTAGAATTTCATCATGTTATATAGTCTTAAATATTTAGGAGGGGTCTCCATTATTAAATTAAGAGATTAAAAAGGGGTCCCATGACATTTTGACATAAGAATCTCCCACCCCACCCTAGGGTATAATGAATGGTCACTTAAAGTACATGCCATCTTCTAACTGGTTGGGCACCTTGCCCCTTTTGTGATGGAAAATCTATTCCCTACCTTTATCCCCTGGGACAAAAAATTCAAATCAACTCTCCACCCTGATAATGTGCAGATGGGAACAGCAAGAATTGAAGCACCCTTACGAAAAAGTCTATAGGTGGCCTATAGGAAATGTTCCAATTCCCTATAGAAGCCAATTCCATATAGAGCTCTATAGGATTATAGGCATCCCTTTAGGTCACCTATAGAAAATGTTCCAATTGCCTATAAAAACCTATAGGTTTCCTATAGGAACCTATAGGTTGGCCTATAGGCCAAGCCTAGACTTTTTTTGTAAGGGGTGTGAAGCAAGCTTTACTGGAGTACATACTATTATTAGGAAGCATCAATTCGCACATGCTAATTTGCCAGTCATGATTTTAAACAGAATATTTCTTATCTCGTATAGAATTCTTAAGGTCTTGTTTACATTTTACTGGAAGCAAACTAAGATGCATATATCCAATATTTGGGTCATATCACTCATATGTCAGTTTTGCAGCTTGCCAGCTTCAACAACATTTGGCTGCAAGGAAAACGTAAACATGGAAAGAGCATATAACACTCATCTGTGTTTAAAATATCAATGAATAAATATTCCAACCATTGGCACTTTATAATATAAGTGACATTCAACAATAGATCAATAACATACACAGTATATGCAAAAACATTTCTTTGAATCACTGTATAAAATATTCCTCATAAACTCGCAACAATCGTCGCACAGCAGAGTCTTTGGAAGGGTAAAACCAAGTTTAACATCCCCAGTTCAAAACACTTTCCGTGTCCTCTTTATAGGCAAGCCTGCCCAGCTGGAGAACATCTGTTAATTTTGTTTAGCGAACGATATTTACCAAACCCAGTTGGAAGAACAGCAACTACATAGTTCCCATGTGATAAAAGCTGAAGAATCTGATTTCAAGTACGTCGGTAGCAAAAAGAAGGAAAAATTTCAAAGACTAAACGCATTTTTAAGCCGCTCTAAGCACTTAAATTTTGTGGACACTCTTAGGTTGGCGGCCATCTTGGATTTTCTAATTCATTATTATTATAATTTATTACACCCACTATATCTGGGTGTTGAAAGTCATGTGACCGGCCGGTGCCAGGGCCTTTTCCCGCCTTCCCAATGACAAAAAGGGAAAAGCCCTGGGAACGAGGTTGGCCATGTTACTCTTCCGTTAAGTTCCTTAACATTGGGCGAGGTTATTCAGTCATTAATGTCTACACTTCACCATAACGGAATGGCGGGCATATTCACAATGGGCATTATATTTATATGTATCTTCCCAACTCATTATTCCATTAGTTAAATAGATAAATAATGGTGTAATATTTAGAAAATATAAAACATTTTCCGTGTTGGTATACAGCGGTTATATCAATACGGAAAAAATGTTTTATATTTGTTTTATAATATAGCACAAAGAAATACAAAGAAAGAAATTTGCCGACATTTCCGTGTTGAGATTGAGCTATATCAACACGGCTCTTGGCCAATCAGAATTCAGAAATTATACTATAAAATTGTTTTTTGCAATTTTCTGCGACTCGACTTGAACATGAAAAATGACTCGAATCGAGTCAAAAGCCCTAAATGATTCGTCTCGGATTTGACTTGCTGATTTTTGCCATAAATAACTTGAGTCAACTCAGCTACAACTTGTTCAGGATAAAATCATCAAAAATACTGCAGTTGAATACACCTGTAGGTTGTGAAGAGTCCTGAAAGTGCTTGAAGAAATAAAAAAGTAATTATCGATGCAGATGGGGCATGTTTCCACTTGCAGAGTGGCATTTTTGTTCACCTTACAACTCGCGTAGCCATGATAATAAAATGACAAAATGACTCGATCTGTTGGTAATTCATTACAACACTGCTACACGCCCCCGTCCCCCCACCCTGCCAAAAACGTAACACGGCCTTCACATTTGACTTCCACTACCACTACCTCTCACTGGCTTAGTACGCATCTGATTGGTTAATCTGATATATCAAACACATCTGATTGGTTAATAGTCAATAATGATTGCGTTAGTGAAAGTCAAATCTGAACCTCTGGGTTTGCCAGTATGCATGCATGTACTGTACACGTCTATAATACATTCATGCTTTTATCATTATAGCTGCAATGTTAATTGGACTGCATTATGAAATGTTGATCAGTAAACTCAAGTACTGCCCAACGCCCGTGGTGTGCAGAACAAACAGACTTGGTAAAACAATGTCAGCAATAGCATCCTTAAGTTTAATTGGAAATGCATCCATTTTTTATTCATCAGTTAAGGAAAGGTTTATACCTCGTCAGTGCAGCCGGTCTACCCTGCCACCAGTATTAGATGTCAAAACACACAGGGTAATTGCTGATGTTGCTGTTTCGTTGTTCAACAAAGGGAAGGATGGGACGTGTATTTTCGAACAAGAAGCAAGAACATGTCCAACCTTTACGGTTAATTGGGAGGCGTTGGATGGTCTAAAACGAGATCCAAGGTAACATGTAATATTATCAATGACATTGCGGTAAAATAAAGTCCCACGTTATGTTTGGAATTCTTTATATAATAGTTCTCATTTTTAATAGAGTGTTCGGAAGACTAGTTTTTGATTCCTTTCATCAAGGGAGAAAGGTGCCCAAATGGTATCGAAGCTCAGCAGAGGGCGGAGCACGTTTGTGAAAATCTCCAAGACCGGGCTTCGACTGCTCTTGGAATGATGGTTGGTGTATCAGAAGACATCAACTATATTTGCGATACACACACAAAATCAATTCGTGCTGCAATGGAACAAGACATAACAAATTTAGACGACAGGTGCATGAAGAATTATTCACTTTTAATTAGCTTGGCTGAAAAGGTAAGGTTATTATCTACTCATCGGCCAGGGCACTTAGCCTCCTCTCCATGCAAATCGGTGACGAAAATGGCAGACTATTATGCAATAGTATTTGTGAAGTTCTTTGTATTCCTTGTAATTTTTATTCCTAAAACATGATCCATTTGTCCCGCACAATCCCTGTACATATAAATTATTGCATAATTCTGCCGTTCTTGGCACCGCGAGCTGCACGCGAAAGGGTTAAACACTCACAATTTGTCAATTTCAATCCAATTAGCCCAATCGCATCATTGAGGCACGTGGTAAAGAAATAATCATTAATCCACCCTACGAAAACCACCTCAAACTAATTTATTGGATGTCTCTCTGAAGACGGCATGATGAAACTACAGCCGCATATTCTTTAACATCGACCATAGGCTGGTCTGCTATTCGAATTGAAAGTTGGATGCGATCGACATAAATAAAAATAATATTACTGCGACACGTATATGCGGTAGGTTAATATTAAACTCTTTATTTAACAGAATTTGTGAAGCAGAGTTAATCTTTGAAAAGTCCGTTTTGGAGAGGGGGGATACAACAACGTTCATTTTGAATCCCAGACGACACAGATGGAAAATCTAGCTGATCTCCGGCATAATGTAGTAAAAAATCCTTTTCTATTTTTCAGGTTATCGAACTAGCAGATGTAGAAGGATTGGATCCGAGTATGGCGTATTCTTTTTTTATGAATGTAATAGTTCCGTATGGTGTCAACAAATACCAGGATCTTGGCCACACATGTACATAACTAGCTGTAACGTCTACAGATTAGGGGTTTAAGCTTCGCATTTCCGGGAACGGCTGGTTCGAACTTTCTTCGCAAAATTTTCGTTAAACATTTTCGTTTCATTTTTTTTTTCTTGTGTCGAAAGAATAGCCATGCATTGCAGTTTTAAAACAGCAAGTTCATTTACTTTTATTGCCTGGTACCGTAAAATTTTTCTTTGCCTGGCATTTGCCGTATAACGTGAAGCATAAACTCTCTAATGCAGATATATCTTCGAACTTCGGAAATAGACCGATGTTATGTTATTACATTTACGATTACAATTCCAAGCAGGCAAATTCTCAACTTTAATGGATTGCAAATTATTTCTATCATGAATGAAAAAACCTGTGTCTGCAGGTGAATGTATTTTTAAAATTTGCTCCATATTAAGATCGTCATATGTTTCATTTTCTAAACGGCGTGGCTGCATTAAAATGCATCAATTAAAAATGGGATAAAAATTCAACCGAGGGTCCAGCATATGGATTCAACGTATCTTCAAAGTCATATATCGCTGCACGTGCGTGAACGCTTTCCGCAATGAAATGTCTTGTGCAGTATATTGGTATAGTATTAACCAAATGCACTATTTCCACAATTATATCACAGATATAAAAAACGTACACAAAACAGTATTTTGCTTATGCTCTCTAATACTGTAACTAAGTAATTTTACAATTGCAGCATTTGATATAAAATCAAAAGAACAAGATAGCGACGAATCTGAACCTACAGTTGTGTTGAATGATGGTGTTCAAGTAACGTCTGGTGGTGTAATGCAAACTACGTCTGGTGGTTTATTGCAAACGTCTGGCGGCTCATTACAAACCACGTCTGGTGGTTCCTTAGAAACTACGTCTGGTGGATCCTTGGAAACATCTGGTGGCTCCTTGCGAAGTTCAAGTAACGTCTGGTGGTGTAATGCAAACTACGTCTGGTGGTTTATTGCAAACGTCTGGCGGCTCATTACAAACCACGTCTGGTGGTTCCTTAGAAACTACGTCTGGTGGATCCTTGGAAACATCTGGTGGCTCCTTGCGAATGTCTGGTGGTTTCTTAGAAACTACGTCTGGTAGATCCTTGGAAAGGTCTGGTGGCTCCTTGCAAACGTCTGGTGGTTCCTTGGAAACGTCTGGTGGCTCCTTTCAAACGTCTGGTGGTTGCTTAGAAACTACGTCTGGTAGATCCTCGGAGACGTCTGGTGGTTCCTTAGAAACTACGTCTGGTGGATCCTTGGAAACGTCTGGTGGCTCCTTGCAAACGTCTGGTGGTTCATTAGAAACTACGTCTGGTGGATCCTTGGAAACGTCTGGTGGCTCCTTGCAATTAGAAACTACGTCTGGTAGATCCTCGGAGACGTCTGGTGGTTCCTTAGAAACTACGTCTGGTGGATTCTTGGAAACGTCTGGTGGCTCCTTGCAAACGTCTGGTGGTTCCTTAGAAACTACGTCTTGCAGATGTCATGCAAACAATGGTTGGTGATATCGTGGAAACGCCATGCGGATTAGAGAGAGGAAGAGAGGAAAAGTTTATTAAAATTTACACATCGCAGTCCGGGGACTGAATTACGTGTCAATTACAAAGTAATTTAAATCCTACTTCTACTAACTATTATGCATGCAATACTAAAACTTACATTAGAATATCGAATATCGATATGTATGAATTATATTAAGAATATGAATTATATTAAAAATATCTACTATAAATATTTATTAGGGTCTTATTGTTGAACTTTTGAAGCGTAATAGTAAAAGGAGCAGTGTCACCGTATGCAAATCTCTTCTGCGCATAGCAAACTTGAAAACGTACAGCCTGTACGTTTTCAAGTTTATGATTCAAGATGGCGGCCATTTGCGAGTGAGCGCATTGCAAGAGAGGCAAAAATTTCGGCACATAGATGTAAATACAAGGCTAATGAAACTCTCAAAATACTGGAATAGACAGCTCAAAAGTTTATACCGATTCACGAATATATTTGAGGCAAAAAGGATGATAAATCGGGACGAAAATGAAGGCTTGATAAAGTTCACCTGTTCACGAAGTGATAGCAATTTCGCTGTCCATTTGCTTTGGTTGAAATATCGTAAGAGGTAAAATAATTGAATTCATAAATACGCTAAATCAATTTAGAAATATATAGCATAGGTGTAGCGATTTCAGGCATTCGTAGTAACAACAGCGAACGACTTAGAGCCTCAGACAAATCATATTGTCCGGGCGAACTATAAACTTTGCTGCAATCTGGCAGTGCTCAAGATAACTGAGCGCATCTATGAATATATAAACGGTAAGGAAAATACCAAAATGATAAATGTAAAACAAGTCATTAATATTCTTCGAACTGACATGAAGACTGACCAAAAATATAGTTCAGTATTAGGAAATATTCATACATTGTATAAATTCTTACTGTGTATTTTGGACAATGCCACATGTTCATGGCATGTTATGTAGCTCACTAAGTCACTTTACCAAACGTTGGGAATGAAGAGTCCAATTGATACCTCTTGTCCTTATTCACTTTAAACACTACCCGTACCTCCCTTTTCAATTTTGTGGCTATTCAGTTTGGTCTCAGTAGACCCAGTATGACTAAAAGTGCTAACCAGAACACTAACATTAAAAAGGGAGCAGTGGTGATATTATTAATATGTACATATGTGATAAAAAATAGCCTGAAAAATATTGCCTACAAATACCCACCTATTTATTTATTATTTTCCATCCTTAACCTTCTGTTAGGTAAAAGCAAGGCCAGATAATATGGAACATATAACCCAGGGAGGCAATGGTGCTCAGGTTCTAGCTGTGCTGAATTTACTCAACTATTGCTCATTCACAACTAATAACTACAGAAGAAATTGGGAATTATAGAAGAGCAGAATAGACATTATGCATAATGACGTCACAAGGCTTAATGCCCGCAAGGAATGCTGGGCTTAGTAGTCATCGCCCAGGAAAATTTCGATAGTGGCCATTTTGAATTGTTTAATTTTTCCGGGCGATGACTACTAAGACCAGCATTCCTCACGGGCATCAAGCCTTGTGACATCATCATGCACAAGGTCTATTGCCAAATAATAACTGGACGTCTTGCAGTAAAATGTCTCCGATAGTAATTACTACACAATAAATCAACCACAGACTGAGAAACGTCAACTTTATTTAGTCTATATTACAGTACAACCAAGTAAAATATTCCCAAACACTTTATTTTATCTATATTAAAAAATACATCAAGTATCATAGTGCCAGGAAATTGCTCTATATGACCAGCAGAAAGTCAAAAGTTTGAAAACTAAAACGACCATCAGATGATGGGAGTGATTATTTTGTAAATGATAAAATGATTTGGGTTGCCAACAAGCAAATGCAATCCTTAGTTGGAACCTCAATATATCAGTAACTCAATATAATTTTTGTACAAATACATGTTGAATATAAAATTAATTGTGTATATTTAATAGTTATTGCAATAAATAAACCTTTAGTTGTATGAGGACAGCCTTACCTAGTTCACTTGCCAAATGACCATGTTGAGTGAACTGTTCATAGCCTGCTTTCTGCAATACCCTGGTGTCTTCCTAGTCATAGGGTAATACAGATATTATTTAGGGCAAATATCAAATTCTGGACGTCAGCACTTATGGCATTCTGACATCTCGTCGACTGGTCCTTGCATGATATTTTCTGGTAACCAAATCATTCCACCTTGCTTTTGCCATGGAAGTGAAAACAATAACAAAACAAGTGGGTATTACTATATGTGGGTGAGCCTCAGCCTGCCTACAGAGCAGGTTAAACACTTTGCCTAAATAGTTAGTAATAATATCAAGGCTAAACAATCAATAAACAATAATATATTAAAGGTGCATGTAACTTGTCATTGTAAAGCAAGCTAGCTTGGATATCCCACATGGGCTTACTTTCCTGTTACACTCCCTATTAACAACATAACTTGTGCAATGGCCAATATGCAATTATTTACAATCATAATTATGAAAATTTCCTGATGGGCTTAAGCCGTGTTTACACTACGAGCCTAAGCCTGGCCTAGCTTTGGACTAGATTTTTGTAGTGTAAATGCACTTTGGCCTGTTCTAGGCTAGGAAATCTAGGCCACCTGTTCTGATGTAGGCTCGTAGTGTAAACACGGCTTTAGATTTCCTGGCCTAGACCAGGCTGAAGTGTGTTTACACTACAAAAATCTAGTCCAAAGCTAGGCCAGGCTTAGGCTCATAGACGTGTAAACACGGCTTTAGATTGTATATTTCTGGTTGGTCTTCATATAAATTCAAAGAATATTCATACATGTTTCGTTCAACATTTATCATTTTGTGCCTGTCTTTGAGGTTTATATATATTCTATATTCATAGATGCACACCATAATCATAGAAAGAGCACTGCCTGATTGCAGTAAAGTTTATAGTTCGACTATGATTTGTCTGAGGCTCTAAGTCATTCGCTGGTGTTGCTACGAATGCATGAAATCGCTACTGACGCTACACCTATGCTATATATTTCCAATTTGATTTAGAAGCTTTATAGATTCAGTTACTTTACCTCTTACGATATTTCAACCACAGCAAATGGACAGCGAAATTGCTATCGCTTCGTGAACTTTATCAAGCCTCCATTTTCGTCCCGATTTATCATGCTTTTTGCCTCAAATATATTCATGAATCGGTATAACCTTTTGTGCTGTCTATTCCAGTATTTTGAGAGTTTCATCAGCCTTGTATTTACATCTATGTGCCGAAATTTTTGCCTCTCTTGCAATGCGCTCACTCGCAAATGGCCGCCATCTTGAATCATAAACTTGAAAACGTACAGCCTGTACGTTTTCAAGTTTGCTATGCGCAGAAGAGATGCGCATACGGTGACACTGCTCCTTTAATATCATGTAAATATGCTAAATCCATTAAGTTGCATTGTAGCACCATGCCCGTGAAAAGCAGTTGGCACATGTAACAACCTTTTTCTAATATATTATATGCCTAGAGTTGTGTTACACTTACTGGCCCCATGACATGATCCATGATTTGATAAATAAATGAATTTATGATGTATCTGCATATTCTCTAATTATATGTATCTCCCTTGTTCATGTTCGAATAAAATTGCTCTTGACATATATTGGTTTAAAATATAGTAAATCTAGGTTTTTCATGTAAGAGCCTACAATATCAGGGGCCCATAACAAGTTCTCGTTGTCTCATCCCTGGCAGGGGAGTGCCTGTTTTCACTCTGCCTAACGTACATCAGACAATTTTACTCTTCAATGGGAGAGTGCAGACAATGGGTTAATCTAAAGCTCAGGGATGGATTTACTGGGAAGGGGGTGCCACCCACCCCCTAGCCCTGGCCAGAGGCGGTGCAGAGGAGGTGCTATTTTTCATGATAAGCAAAAATTATTAGAGACAAAATGAGATACAGTAATTTGAGTAATAACATGATGATAAGTAAACTGTGAACAACAATTACAATTCAATTACAATATTCAAGCAAGACTTTGCAGTAGTGAAGCAAGTTGATGGGCGGGCGGCACACATGACCGACACAACTCAGCACCAGAGCTAGCAGAGCACCCCCACCCCCTACCAGATCATGCTGGATCCATCCCTGCTAAAGCTTACTAAATGTATTCATTGTTGTAAACTTACAGTTAATATTTAGTTCAATAATTGAAATTGGGACAGGGTGGCTGCTGTGTAATGTAACAATAGCAAAACACTAGCTATCACTGGGAAGTTTCCTCAGTGACTCTTTGTATGGCTACAACTTTGGTGTGAGTAATACCTAGACATATATAAGGGAATAGACATAAAGGAATAGAAAAGACAACTGGAATTTAATAGGAATCTAATAGTTTTGCAAGTGACGGTTTATGTGACATTCATCTTGCTTGCCAAAGTTCGCAGGCAAAATGTTTACATGGGTAAAATCCATCGATTTTGCAAGGCAAATTGCCATGTATATATAAAACAGGGCCATTATTATCTAAGACACTCAAGTTTGAAAACTTTGTCTTTGTCCAAGGGATAAATTGCACAGTGTATTCCACAATATAAAAAAATCTCTTTGTTTTAAAGACTTTTATTAATGATTTTCCTTCCATGCGTATTAAAACAAGGCAAGATGTATATATTTAACTGATACCAAAGGCACAGTCACATATGTCAACAGTTACATTTTATATATGGACAATTTTCGCTCGTTCCTTTTCGTGTTATAATTTCGAATGAATCACTGCAATTTCAGCTTTAATATTATGATATAAATGTCGTCAACAATTTGAGTAGAAATTTGTATATATTAACGATAAACGACGTTCAATTGACACCATGTCTTGACATGAATCGACGACAATGTGAATTCGCTGCTCTGGAAAGTCACTCGTTGAGTCGTTGTCTCTAAACAATCCCAGTAAATCGCTGCTTCGGCTCACGCTAACGTTCTCAGCTCCTTAGTCAAAGTTCCCTGTGTATTTACAATGTTAAAGAGCAGTATAATTCGTTAACTTTACAGGCATTCGTCTTAGTTTTATAAGCCATCGTGTTGAAAACAAAAATTTCTCCACTCCTTGCTGTAAGCCCTTCCTACTCCCCCTAAGTTTGCGTTTGTCGAAATTTGCATGCGCGAGCCGGTATGCGCAGTGCAAATTTTTGTGTCGATTTATGGCAGGCATCTCACCAAACTTTTTCCCACCACCCGATTCGTCGGGTGAGATGCCTGCGGAGGAGGCTAATTTACTGTTAATCTTTAATATACTAAATAAATAATGTATAAAAACGAATTCTTAAAACGTTCAGTTCTACAAACATAATTATAATATTTACATATCGGTCTTAGATCATACCCAGATAAAATTGTTTCTGGTAAAAGATCTTTGAGATTTTCATTGTCAATATTCTTCTCAAAGAAATGTTCGCATAATTTTTCTCGGCGATCTCTCGGCGACGTGATGTTAGTCGTGATCAGCGCTTCGTCATACTTTTGTGATGGAAGGATGATTCTCAACGCACGGTTTTTGGATTTTCTTCAATATCTTCACATAAATATTATTGGATATTGTAATGCCAGACCTGGCACGCGTACTCCAAAACAGGTCTAATAATGGTAGTATATATCACTCGGATATGTTTTTGTGAGCTCCGTTTATTTTATATTTTTCTCCTCAATATCCACATTTAATCTTATCCACATTTTAATATGTTGATACACGATGGTGATACCTATCTTTGGACCGGTTCCTTGGCTGATTTAACGCGCTTTGTTGATAAAATTTTTAATTTTACAGGGAAGTGGAGCTCTCCAGGAGGCGAAGCGAAGCTGTTTTGTGCTACAAAGTCTGACTTTGTTATTAAATGGTTTGGCTGGCAGTCCCAGAAACTTGTGATTCAAGTAGACAGTGCTGAGAACTTTTTAACACAGAAGTTTGAGAGGTTGGTGAAAAAGAGTAAAGGAAACAAAGCTGATAGCAAGAATGGTACTGATGGAGCGATTGTTGGCGATGGCGATACAGAACATCCTGATGTACTGGATGTATGTAAATGTTCCTGCTCTGTTGATCTAGAGGGCTTGAAGCTTGAAATAACAATTTTACAAGCGCGATTATCTGCCGCAATTTCCAAAAATGAGCTTGAGTTAGATATTGATCTGCTCAGAGTTAAACAGAAAGAATCGGAAGCCGCTATAAGACGCCAAGACGATGTGATCTGTGGTCTTAACGAAGAGAATCAATTCCTTAAAGCAAGGTTGTTGGCTCTTGAATAGAACCTGGCTCATCAGTTTACAAAGTTAAAAGTATTGACAAAGCGGCCGCTTTTCATGCCAGTGAACAATGTAACAAAAGTAACCTCAGCTCAATTAATTAACAATGAATTACTTAATACCTCTCATGACAATAGTCTTGCTCGGCATAATAGCAACGGACAATGCAATGCCGATGATTTGAATAATAATCAAATTGACCTTGCAAATGATGATGCTGTGTTTTCCCCAAAACAGCAGAATGAAAATAATACACACAAAGGCATCAATTCGAACTTGCAATCCGAATCGCAGCAGTCAACCAACATAGAAGGGAATAAACCTAGATATGATCTGTCCCCAAAAACCTCTCATGACAATAGCCGTATTAGATACGATTCATCTCTAAAAACCTCTCATGACAATAACCTTATTCGGCATAATGACAACAGCCAATGCAATGCCGACGATTTGAAGAATAATTACATTGACCTTACAAATGATGATGCCGTGTTTTTCCCAAAACAGCAGAATAAAAATAATACACACAAAGGCTTAAATTCGAACTTGCAATCGGAATCGCAGCAGTCAATTAACAGCGAAAGGGAAAACCCGAATAGAATCCGTCCCTAAAAACCTCTGTCCCATGCTCTTTTCTCATACGCCGTGGTAGATGTTTTAAAGGCGACCGATGCGACTTTAAACATCCAAAACCATCTGAAACACGAAAGTGCAATATACCATGTCCTTTTCTGCATAAAAGAGGGTGCTGTCTGAAGAAAGAGATCTGTGATTTTTCCCACGACAAATTGATACGTAACTCATCCCCCATGCCCTATCCAGGCAATTATGCTTCTCCAATTATGCAACCCATTTCCGCCGCACCAGAATTATTATTACCGAGAACCTTGGAGAAATTTACCCGCATTGAACCCTTTAATGGAAATGCCAACCCCTATATGGTCACAATATCCAAATCCCTATCCTCCAGCCATACAGCCCCCAATGAGTTACCCAAATCAGTACCCTTCACCCCTGATGATGAATTACACCAGACCACCCAGGCGTTGACAGGTGATTACGATTCATCCAAGTTTATTTGTCCCTTCCTTAACAATGTTACCCATAAGATACCCGATACCGAACTAAATAAGATACCCATTAGAAGTACTCCACGCACAAGACAGCACAGTCATACAAAATCTCTTAGGCATTGCAGCACTTTGAGACTTATACAAGTAAATAAAACTGCCCCGAGTCAACCACGCTTAATTCCATGTTGCTCAATGTTGAACGCCAGATCTATTGCTGAACCTGATGCATTAAGTGCAATAACATAGATGTTTGTTGTATAACCGAAACATGGCTCAAACCGACTATACCTAGCTCTCGTTTGTCCTCCCAATTTTTCCATCATTAGAAAGGATAGAACAAACTGTCGAGGAGGAGGTGTTGCGATCTTATGCAGGAATGATTTGAGAATGTAGCTACTACCTGATTTGGATACGATAATCCATTCGAATGTTTATGGACAAAAATTATTATACAAAACTCTGAATTCTTTGTTGCAACTATTTAATACCACCCACCTGACTATGAGTATAATGAGCAAGACCTTATCGAATTCCTTATTGACTCGAGCGAACAACTATTGTTATCTAAACCGAATTCAAATATAATAATTACTGGTAACATTAACAATTTAAATATTCGATCTGTTCTTAATCAACTTCCATTTACCCAACTCGTTAAGACCCCTACGAGAGGGCTAAAAAAATTAGATGTCTTTATTACAAATGTCCCAAACTATTGGAGATCTGTTAAAGTTGTAAAAAGCTTGGTGAGATCTGAGCATGATATGGTTATCACATACCCCCGAAACATAGTTAAAGCAATAAGGACAAATTCCTATTTCAGAGATGTGAGACAACATCATCAATTCAATATGTTTCGTGAACTTGAATCTATTGATTGGAATACGATAGTTATGCATAGTCATAACCTAGATGATATAACCCTAAAATTTTATGAAATAATATGGCCAAAATTCGATATGAGCTTCCCATTAATTAAGGTCCGAACGTCATCACGCGACCCTCCGTTCATGTCTCCTCTTGTGAACCACCTTCTGAATCAAAGGAAAAGAGTCATACAAAACCGAAATACTGAAGCAAATACACGATTGCAAGAAAAAATCAACAAGTTAATTCGGAAAAATCAATTAAGTGCAGTCAAGCAGGAGTTTGGCAACCAGAAAACTGGATCGAAAAGTTGGTGGTCTAACGTAAATCGCATTACCTCGAGAAGAAAGAAACATGATGTATCTGTAAGTGCTTCTCTTAACCCTCGTAAAATTAACAAATATTTTCAAAGTGTGAATACAGACCCAAATTATACGACTCCCGAGCCTCTTCAAATCTCAGAAGGAACAAGAATTCCTTCGTTGTCAATTCATGAAGTTCAACATCCTTTACTGAATCAAAAACGCTCTTCATCGGGTCCGGGCAATCTGCCATATTGGTTTTGGAAATCCTTTGCTATTGAATTAGCTCCTATTGTCACAGAAATTTTTAACATGTCACTAAAAACCAGCAAAGTACCTCAGAAATGGAAATCCGCTAATTTATTACCACTCCCTAAAGAATCACCATTAAATTCGTGCAACCAGTTAAGACCAATCTCTCTGACGGACATCATCATGAGACTATCCGAGAAGTGCGTGTATAAATCTGAAATCGCACCTATCACAAGAAATAACATTGATCCTGACCAATTTGCTTATAAAAAGGGTCACAACTCGACTATGGCCCTGATTAAATCCGAACATCGATGGCTAGAGTGGCCGGATAAAAACGCTAATTATGTTAGAGTGTTGTCGTTCGATTTCAGCAAAGCATTTGACAGTGTGCCCCACGATCTTTTGTTTGAAAAAGTTAAAAACCTACCCATTAATCCGTATGTGGTGAACTGCCCTTGTAGATTCCGACATATATATAACCTATTTTAGACCTATTTTTTCTCTATTTAGCCCTATTTTTTCCGTATTTTTTCAAGAATATGACAATTTTATTACTATTTATCAAATTTCATAAAATAGTATATGACTATTTACACTCTATTTAAAATATAGGTTATTTATATTTTTCAAAAAAATAGCTTTGGAATAGGTATTCAAATCCTATTTGAAAAAGTAATTGACGGAATCGCGCTATAAAATAGCTTTTAAATAGCTATTTAATTCCTATTGATGACAAACGAGTCAGTTTAAATAGTTTTAAATAGCTATTTTTAAACTATTTTCGCTTCTCTTCTTTGGAGCCATTCTTAAAATAGTTATTAAATAGCAAAATAAATAGATCTTAAATAGATATTTAATTTCTATTCATAGAAAGTTTGTTCAAAATAGCTATAAAATAGCCATTTTTAAACTATGTTTGCTTTTATTTTTAGAGCTATTTTTAAAATAGTTATTAAATAGAAAAATAAATAGATTTAAATAGCTATTTAATTCCTATATTCACACAAAGTTGTGGCGAACTTTGTTCAAAATAGCTATTAAATAGCTATTTTTAAACTATGATTACTTTTATTTTTAGAGCTGTTGTTAAAATAGCTAATAAATAGCAAAATAATTAGATCTTACGGCTATATTTATTTCCTATTCATAGAAAGTCGGAGATTTGAGAAAGGGTAAATGTATTTATTTAACTGGTCAAAATTTCCCAGTTAATTTTAAATTTTTCATGAGTTCATTGAAATTATATTTACAAAAATTAATGTCCTCACCGTTTAATAAATATATCTATATTGAGATATTTAATATAACGACACGCATAAGAATACAAGGTTTGTGGGGTTATGGAAGTGTGGGACAACTGCTCTATATACTGTATTTTTTATCTGCGAAGAGCTGGGTGCTGAGCGGTTCCCAGGGCATATACTCGTATTGAAAAGCTGGATCTTGGGGAAAGTCGATTGGGACATATACTGATTTGCAGCTGGGTCCTAATCTGCCCAAGACATATACTTTTACAGATTTTGAGCTGGGTCCTGAGTCGGCTAGAACATATACTCCATTTAGAGCTGGATCCTAGCCTGCCCTGCAAGACATATACTCTGAGCTGGGCCCTGGGAAAAAATGATCAGGGAAATATTTCTTAGAACACTGATCTGGCTCAGCACATATACTCATATGCAGAAATAAAGTGATTTTTTGTAAATGGGAATTGGCTGTATGCCAGGTTGCCAAATTCCGTAAAGAAAACGTGAGGTCTATGGTAAAATTGCGACCTCATACTAGAGCAATTGCCTCCACAATCACACAACGATAGTGTGTGTGATCCCCATAGACCGACAAACAACGATCGAGTGTTTATCTCACTCTGCAATCAATCGTTTTGAAACGTCTGTAAGGACATTGATTGGCGTGCGAATATATCTGAGGTAACAATCGGAAGACGGTCTTCCTAGCGTTTGAATAAGCCAATGAGGCAAACCTTGGGACGCAGCTGTGGTAGCCGCTCCGATTCTAAAGCTGTGGCCTGCATAGTGAGCAGGGTGATGACCACCTTGGGCCAAAAGTGTTCGTAGTTCCTTAGTAAATTGACTACGTGATAAAGGAACACCGTTTGAGTAGCAAAACAATGGTCCCGCATAGTCCGTTGGCGCACGTGAAAGGTAGGTTTGAAGGGCCCTTACTGGACAATACATACCAGAATTGCTGCCAATGGTTATTGTGGCTGAGGCTCGAAACGGATCGGTTTTTGACGCTTTAATTCGTAGTTGCAGAAAAACCTCGTTATCCCCACGTTTTTTGTTATGAAAACTTACATCTGATCGGCAAAGGTTTGTTGAAGAATTATAAGGACCGGAGCAAGTCATTTCACCAATCCGCAAAAACCCGAAAAATGCTATGGAAATCGCTGCCCAAATCATGGTTTCATCATGTGTTGGCGATGTCCGTGAGTGTAATATGCGGTGAAACAATTTCAAATGGTCTAATGTAATTGGTAGGCGTGTTCTTGTAGACACTCCTTTTACTCGCTTTATACCTCGCAAAATATAGTGTAGGCGTTGAAATTTGGTGATTTGAAGGTCGTAGCCGTTAACCAAATGCATATGGCGTACTGCTGCGAGATAGACTTTGATGGTGTCTGGATTTACCGTCTTAGCGAGAAAAACTTTTTGACTTTTTTAAATCAGTCTTTACAGCTCGCAATCCAAGTAAGAATGATATAGGCAGATAAAGCTAACTCGGATATCTGCCCATGTTTAACTATAGTTTCATTGTTATAGTTATGAATAGGTCAAACATAGTGGTTTGGACAATAATTAATAAACAATACTGGGTGCAGTAGCCTACGGGTTTGGCAAGCAAATAATGAAAGTCTGTGATAGAGTCTTCCTTTGTTTAGACAATAGTAGCTTTCGAGTTGGCTTAACATAGACATTTTAAATCTATAATTTTTAGGTCTAGCGCACTGAGTATCGTCCATTAACAATAATTTGTACTCGTAAAAATTACCATTAGTTATAGTCTTTGTGGAGGTAGGTATTTTGTTATTTTGACAAAACATAATTTTTTGACAAAACATGAAAATTCTCATGATGAGCGCGGTTTGTCAGACTGGTGCATAGTTTTCCTACAACACGCGCAAAGCTTCCCGGGATAGCGTCACAATTCACAACCGCCATATTTTAAATTTTTTGTTTTGAATTTTGGGCTCGAAATACAGAGCTTTTATTTCATTATTACCGAAAGATGACATCATTTTAACGAAGACTAAACATCAGGGATGACTGGATAACATCCAGGTAAGAATTTTGTTATGTTTTATATATAAATAGAGCAATTTTGAAAGGAAATATTCACTATCTTCATTCGTGAATTTTGAGCATGTGTTCCGGCTTAAAATTTCAATTTGCTGCGACAATATTTGAATTAAAACGATGCATATGATGTAAATACATTAGTTTTATAGAAAGGCTTTATACATTTGACTCAGTCTTTATATTAAATGATGTTTATTGTAATGCCAGATAGTATACTTTGACCTTTGTGTATTAGTGTATATGCCAGATTGCCAGATTCCAGTGTTACTTGTATAAAATATAAATATAGCTTGGCATGTCCCAGCTAAACATGGTTTGAGAAAATGGGTCAGTTTAGAATGGATAAAAATATCAATTTGATGTGTTGTTGTCATGTGTGGCAACTTAATTATAGACGTGTTCCTAACTGGAAACAGTTTAAGTCCTTAGTTTACTTGTTCAAACTTATGAATACATTTAGTTTACACCACAGGTATGCATGATCTGCTTAATAATATAATTGTAACAACCTTTGGGCTACAGTTTATATATTTTAGAGACACTCCGGCAAGGGTTTTATTGTTTTTGGAATTACTAATTTCTATCCAATGAGCCCAATTTTCAGCACTTTGTTATTAAATGTTATCTTGCCTAATACCGGACAATTTTATTTGTCAAGGGAAGTGTCTAGCTAGAGTGCTAGACTCTGCCCATGTTTCATGTTGACATATTTAGATCAATTAGATGCAATTTCCCAAACACTTCCTACTTAAGTACTTTGATATTATTATTTAACTCTGACATTTCATGGTAGACAATTTTACCTACCGACTGTGGCATGCTGGCCCATATCTCACCTATTAACACCTATAAAGGAGCAATTTCCACTTACGTTACCTACTTGAAGTTCTTTCTAGGGGTGTGCAGGATAGAATTTTTTGCTATCCAGCTACTTACAGGATATATGTTGGATAGTTGAAAAATATCCAGCTAGATTCAGGGTATCATTCAAATATATAAATGCTTTTTTCTAACCTGTTAAGAAGGCCTGAACGGCTGAACCTAACTGTACAGAGCTTCACCCTATTCTTGATGTTACATGATGTTCTTGCTTTTTTTCTGCCCAGTCCCTAGCCTGCGTAGCAGGCGCTATTTAGGGTGAGGGCGAGGGTGGGAAAAGCTAGGGGGGAATGCGAAGGCGAGAGCGGGGAAAAATGGAAGGGGCGAGAAAGAAATAGCGCCTGCAGGAAAGCCATATGTTTTCCCATCTGCCCAAGTCCTGCCCATTAAAAAACAAGCCAATCAGTGATTAGACGCAACTAATGGTTTTCCCAATGACAGATCTGGTTTCACAACAGTATGCATAATCATAGTTAATGCGCGTGTATACTATAAAGTGTATTTCTATGTTTAAAACGCCAAAAAAATTTGTAAAAAAGCAGGTAGAAAAGCGAAATAGGCAAGCGCTAACGATACATGCAGGTTTTGCAACAGCAATCTAAAAGCAGTATGTGAAAGTGAACCTTCCTTTGAAAATTTGTGTAAGCCGTCAGACAGACAATGCAGTCAGAATTTGATTTCAGCGAACGCGTGCGAGTCCATTGGCTTTAAGTTGAATCGAAGCGAAACTTTATCGGATCGAGTGTGTAAACCTTGTAAGGAAAATAAGGAACGTTGCTGAACTATATAAATTTGTAAAGGAAGAACGATAATTAAAGAACAAAATAATACGGTTTCAGATGATCTGAGCGAGATAAGTAAAACGCAGTTGCCAAGAAATCACACAACGGAAGTGTATAAAGAAAGAAATTAAATGTGTGTGTCAAATCTAGTACTAGAAAGTCTTTTCCTCGACACAGAAGAACGAGATTCCCCATCGCAGGACAAGTTGTTAACAACAACGACAGCAACTCGAAGCGGCAACTTTCTCGATCAATTGACAGCGAATAGGCTAAGTCAGTAAGTTGAAAGTGATTATAGCGTATAAACTATAGTTGTTATGTACTTGATGTAAGAACTTTAGATTGAACTCGGCCCAGGCCTCCATGTGGGCATATAAAACGCGGACACATTTGTTTTGGCGGCCATATTTGAACTTAGAGCTGGAGTAAACTTAGTAATTTTTGAACTTAGAGCTGGAGTAAACTTAGAGCTGGAGTAAACAAGTTATTTGGAGTGGAGTAAAGCCTTAGATGTATGTATTCTGTTGTATTTGTTCGTCAGTTGTCCATTTATTTGTTTAAATATTTGTAATTTGTGTACGATATTTGTTCCGTTTATTTGTATAGTTTTCACCGTGGTTGTACGAATTAAAAGTCTTTTTATAATTTCGTGTTTCCTTGGTTGACACTTTGTTCCCTCCCTGGGACACAACAGTGAAAAATCTGGTTTATTCGGAGAGATTTACTGGTCATATCCTACGAAGTCGTGGACTTACAAAATGGCGGAATATGATGGAAACAGCCTATCTAGCCCAGTCGTTTCCGAACATGGAGAAAAGCGTACAAGAACGTTTACACATAAAGGTTTCCAGAACACGCTTATAAACCAGACAAAAACATTTAATAAACAAACGAAAGTATTACGGGTTGCGATTGACCTGGTATACAAAACGATAGAGGAGAATTCACCGATAAAGGAAGCCCTAGACTCGCTCGAAAAAGAGAGACGAATGCTCGTAAATTCTGTTAAAAGTCTCGAAGAACTCTTTGCACAGGACAAGTGGGGTGAAACAACCGACGTGGAACCAACCATCAGAAAAGCCTTCGAAAGTTTCCTGCACGCAGCTGAGGTCGTTTCGCAAGAGGCAGGAAAGAAACTTGACAATAATAAAAGCAAAGTCGCGAACACGTCCTCCGTAAGGTCCAGAAGATCGAGAACGTCGGTGAAAACTGGATCTACACGTTCATCACTTCATTCAGAAAGAAGAATAGCAATGGCGGAAGCAGCTGCCGCGAAAGAGCAAGCGGAGTACGACAGATTAATTGCTCAAATGGAGAAAGATCGGAAACAACGCGAAGCCCAAGAGGTGCTAGAGAGATCAGCAGCACAAGCCCGACATGAACATGATATAGCAGTTCTTGCAGCCCGGAAATTGGAAGCAGTAGCTCAAGCGAAGTTCGAAGCCATTGAAAGATCCATAATCCAGGAGGAAGACGATTCGTATTCTGGGAAATCAAGTCGGAAAGCCAGCGTAGAACCTTTGGAACGCACCAAAGCATGGGTAGAGAGCCAACCTCCCTTTGAAGGTGATGTGGTGAGAAAGATTAAACGAGAAGTTAACGATGAGTTCAATCAGACTTTACCCCATCCCATCCGACACCGATCGGAAAGACACCAGATATATGAAACACAAGAACCTAGTCGCGTAGTTCAACAATGTATGGGAGCGATAGCTACGACCAACGAGAAGCTAACTGCAAGTCTGGCAAAGTTGAGTTTGCCGAAATGTCACCCAGATGTATTTTCTGGAGACGCTACGATGTTCCATCCTTGGAAAACCGCATTTAAAGGAATGACAGAAAGTTGCAACGTCACCCCAGAGAACGAAATGAACTATCTATGCGTGTATACAACCGGCGAGCCACGAAAGTTGGTGAACAGTTATCGGAAAAGACGTCATAAAGACCTTGAGAAACTGTTGATGGAACTATGGATGGAATTGGAAAAGCGTTTCGGCAACGTCGCAGTAATTACAAACGCATTTCTTACAAGACTTCGAGAATCAGCCAGATTTGGAGAATATGATAAGAAGAAACTCCAAGCATTCTCAGATCTGTGCTCGGACGTGGTTTCGCAAGTTAGTCAACTTCCTGGCTTAGCATGCCTCAACTATCCAAACGCCATTCGACCCATCCTCTATAACTTACCAGAATCCCTTCGCAACAGATGGGACAAGCAAGTCGTTGGATTCACTCTGAAAAACAAAGACGCTTATCCTGATTTTACCGTGTTTGCCTCCATGATCGAGAAACAGTCCCTACTCAAGAATCACCCAAATGTGACAGCTTTCGAGAAACGAGGAAAGGGAGATCGGAGAAAGCCTTTTATACCACCACTTATCCCACCAGAGGACCCCCTGCATACGGTCTTGGCGGGAGAAACTAAAACAGAAGATCAAGAAGTTAAAGAGAAACACTGCCCGTTCCACAAATGCATTGGACATACGTTGTCAGAGTGTAAATCTTTCGCTCAAAAAACCCTGGAGGAGAAAACGCAATGGATCAAAGAGGAAAAGTTATGTTTCCGATGCTTGGTTGCAGGACACATAGCCAATCAATGTAAATCGAAAATGAAATGCGGGAAGTGTAGCAGTGAACGTCACCCAACGCTTCTTCACAAGGAGAAATGGAACAATGATGCCCGAAGCAAAGAAATAACATCCGCGCGAATGAGTATTGGTTGCAACGCCGACAGAAACGTTTCCTGTAGCAAGGTCGCCCTGCTTGACGTGTTCCATCCAGACAGACCGCAGAAGAAATTCAGAGTTTACGCCATTGTAGATGAGCAAAGTAACGCGTCTATGATTAGCCCGGAATTAGCTGACGGCCTTGGTATATCAGGACCAAAGGAGAAATATCTGCTGTCAACATGTAGTGGCTCGAAAGAAACAAGGTTTGGTCGACGGGTCCCGGGTTTGATGGTCACACCAGTTAAAGGAAAACCACTGGAGCTACCCACACTGATCGAATGTGATAACATCCCCAAAGATAAGAGTGAAATCCCCTCACCAGAGTTTGCCATGCAGTATACCCACCTTCGAAACATTGCTGATGAAATTCCCCCGTTGGACAGTAGAGCAGAAGTTCAGCTCTTAATTGGTCGAAATGCGCCAGAACTGTTGAAAGTGAAAGCATTCCGCAACGGTCCTAATGGAACTCCGTGGGCGCACAAACTAGCTGTTGGTTGGACGATATGCGGACAAGCCTGCGTCGATCGTCAAGGAGGACCAATTCATGTCGGTACCCACCGTACAATTTACTACGACCCACCGAGACAGATACATTTCGAACAAGATGAGGCAAGTACTTTGCAACGTGATGCTAAACCCAAGCAAGATAAAAGTAACACAAGAGAGATCTCATACCATGAGTTGACACCCTGCACAAATAACTACGTTGTACAAGAGAACTTCCCCGACGTGTACCAAGCAACAGATCGCGACAACGAAACCACCATGTCAATAGAAGACCAACGCTTCATTCAAATAATGGAATCCAATATCCACAAAAATCAAACAGGACATTGGGAGATGCTACTACCCCTCCGATCTAACGACATACACGTTCCTGACAACAGAGATCAAGCTTCAACTCGTCTCAAAAGCCTTCTGCGTTCGTTCAAGAGGAATCCGAAAATGGAGCAAGACTACTTCAACTTTATGGCAAAACTGTTTGAATGCGGTCATGCCGTACCAATACCAATCGAAGCCACTCCCCCAAAAGAAACTGGGAAAATTTGGTACCTACCACATTTTGGCGTATACCATCCTCGTAAACCAAATAAGATCCGAGTTGTATTCGACTCCTCAGCAGAGTTCAAAGGAACATCTCTTAATAAGGGACTGTTGTCAGGTCCAGATATGCACAATGGTCTTCAGGGAATACTGGTCAGATTCAGAAGAAATGCCGTTGGTGTGATGTGTGATATAGAGCAAATGTTCCACAACTTCCATGTCCACCCACCACATAGAGATCTATTGCGGTTCCTGTGGTTCGCTGATAACGACAAAGAAAAAGATATCATCGTCTACCAAATGGTGGTGCACTTGTTTGGCAACACATCAAGTCCCGCTGTAGCAACGTTTGGCCTTAGGAAAACGGCAGAAGAAGGAGAGAAAGAGTTTGGTCAAGACGCCAAAGACTTTGTCGTCGAAGACTTCTACGTAGATGACGGTCTGACATCACGCGATACCGCGGAAGGAACTGTGTCTCTCATTAAGAACACTCAAGCAATGCTCGCAACTGCAAATCTGAGACTTCATAAGATTGCATCCAATTCCGTCGAAGTCATGAAATCATTTCCAGATCAAGACCGAGTCGAAAGCCTCAAAGATCTACACATTGAACAAGGCCCACTTCCGTCACAACGGTCGTTAGGAGTAATGTGGGATTGGGAGAAGGATGCTTTCGCATTTCAAATTACATAGCCGGAGAAACCGTATACTCGTAGAGGCGTGTTATCTGTCGTTAACTCAATTTATGACCCATTGGGATCTCGTCAAAATGGGGAATGAAAGATGGGGAGACAAAGCATCTCTCGGATGGGACGATCCTCTTCCGCAACCACTACAAAATCGATGGAGAGATTCATTATGTGACTTAGAAGATATCCGAATCCCAAGATGTTATCGTCCAGAAACATTCGGGGAAACGAAAAGATCAGAAATTCACGCGTTCTCGGATGCCAGTGATAAAGCAATCGGTACTGCAGTCTTCCTTAAGCAAGAAAACTAAACGGGAGAAGTAAATGTTTCACTTCTGTTTGCACAAGCACGATTATCTCCAAAACAAGCAACGACTATCCCAAGGCTCGAACTTTGTGCCGCAGTGCTATCAGCCCAAGCAGTGAAGTGGATAACTCGTGAACTGCGATTGAATATTGATGAAATTGTATTCTACACCGATTCCAGAGTGGTGTTAGGCTATATTCAGAACGAGAGCCGACGCTTCTACGTGTACGTAGCGAACAGGATCCAGATCATTCGCAGCATTTCAGATCCTTCACAGTGGAAATACGTGGAAACGACCCATAACCCCGCAGACATCGCGACTCGTGGCAAACCAGCCAAGCAGCTCGTGGCATTTTCATGGTTCAACGGTCCGGAATTTCTGCGAAATGACCATTCTTCCCCAACGACAAATGATCACGAACTTAGTATTATGAGCGACGATCCCGAAGTTCGTCCCGAAGTTTCAACTTACTCGTCCGAGGTTCAACTAATTGAAAGTCTGGGATCGGAAAGATTCAATCGCTTCTCAAGGTGGACTACACTTCGCAGAGCTCTAGCCAATTTGATTGTTAAAGCAAAACAAGTCAAAGCCCGACGGCGAGGAGGAAATTTGTCAACACCCAACACCAGGCGTACCCGTAGCAATCCACCGAACCCTCCAACCTCAAAGCATTCTCTCACAAATCCTTCTGCTAAGGAACTGAACCAAGCTGAAAACTTGATGATGAAGACTGCGCAAGCGGACGCGTTCACTCCCGAGATTAGGATAATACAACAATCGAAGTCATTGAAGAAGTCACGCTTATACAGCCCGACCCTTTCATCGATAATAACGGAGTACTTCGAGTCGGTGGTCGCCTACGACAAGCCGAACAACTATTTGAAGAGAAACATCCAGCTATCCTTCCTAGAGATTGTCACTTGGCGAATTTAGCAATCGAGCACTTTCACGAAACCGTCCACCACCAAGGCAGACAGATTACGTATGGGAAAATCCGTCAAGCAGGGATATGGGTAATCGGAGCAAACCGGATGATTTCAAAGAGAATCAAGCGATGCGTCACTTGTCGGAGATTGCGAGGGAAGCTATTAACGCAACACATGGCCGAACTACCACGCGAAAGATTGGAAACGCCACCACCGTTTACCAACGTAGGGTTCGACGTGTTCGGGCCCTGGACTATCCAAACACGAAAACTAAGAGGAGGAGCAGTCAACGCAAAACGTTGGGGACTGATATTTACGTGTTTAAATTGCAGAGCCGTTCATATCGAGGTGTTGGAAACGATGGAGACGAGCTCGTTTATCTGTGCCCTTAGACGATTCTTCGCGTTACGCGGCCCATCACTTCTTCTGCGATGTGATCGAGGTACTAACTTCATTGGAGGAAAATCTGAATTAGATCAAGCTCTGAGCGCGATGAACCAGAAGGCTATCACGAAATACGTTACAGAACAAAACTGTGAGTGGATATTTAACCCTCCCCATGCCTCGCATTTCGGTGGGGTTTGGGAAAGGCAAATTGGCACGGCTAGACGAGTACTAGACGCAATGTTCCTGGAACTCGGAAGTCCACAACTGACACACGAGCTATTGGTTACCCTTATGGCTGAAATTACTGGAATAATCAACTCACGTCCTATCGTTGTCGTACCATCCGATATCGATCAACCCCAGCCACTTACACCTAATATGCTGTTAACTATGAAGACCCGACCACTTCTACCTCCACCGGGCGTGTTCACACCGGAAGATGTCTATTTGCGATATGCAAAAATTGCCATTTCAAGAGACGGAGAGAAAAAGGTCTATTATAGACCAATTAATGAATTTGTTCCTATAATACATGCCTAATAGTTGAGTATCTTATACTTTTAATTAAGATAATAGTAGCAAGGACGATATTAACGTCCTTGGGCGAGGAGTGTTATGTACTTGATGTAAGAACTTTAGATTGAACTCGGCCCAGGCCTCCATGTGGGCATATAAAACGCGGACACATTTGTTTTGGCGGCCATATTTGAACTTAGAGCTGGAGTAAACTTATTAATTTTTGAACTTAGAGCTGGAGTAAACTTAGAGCTGGAGTAAACAAGTTATTTGGAGTGGAGTAAAGCCTTAGATGTATGTATTCTGTTGTATTTGTTCGTCAGTTGTCCATTTATTACGATATTTGTTCCGTTTATTTGTATAGTTTTCACCGTGGTTGTACGAATTAAAAGCCTTTTTATAATTTCGTGTTTCCTTGGTTGACACTTTGTTCCCTCCCTGGGACACAACAATAGTGATTATAGTAATTATAGTGATTTAAACATCCACGGACGAGAAACATTGCCATTCCATATCTTTTGGCTGGTCTTTAATATAAATGCTATTCAATGGGGATATTACAATAATAGCTGCTTTCCCTGACGTATGATAATCACGCGCTCGTACGAAAGCTTGGTAAATCAAACTTTTGCCATAAACCTGTCGGTAATACAGCAAAAACATCTTTTCCTTTTAAAAGGTCCCGAACTGCTTTATCTTGCTCCTCTTTCAGTTGAATACAGTGGCCAGTCGCCAACTAAATATAGCTAATCACTTTAGGAAGAACTTCGTCAATACTAAGGCCGCTATTTTGAACTCATCTAAAACCACAGGGAATATAATTGGGAAACCCCTGATGACTGATTAGCCAATCAGAATTTCGCGTCCGCTCACGGACGCGAAATATGAGAAAACATATGGCTTTCCTGCAGGCGCTATTTCTTTCTCGCCCCTTCCATTTTTCGCCCTTCCCCCCTAAATAGCGCCTGCTACGCAGGCTACCCAGTCCCCAGCCAAGTTACTGTCTGTATATACTTAACTCTTTGGGTACTATAAAGACTGCTAACTATGTCTACTATATTGAATATCTGGCTAAAAGACTACAGATTTTTAACTCATTTATTGGCAGACCTCTACCCACTGACAAGTAAAATTGTCTGGCATTTATAGACTGTAAATACTAAAGTAGATTTGTTGTATAATACTAAAACTGTCTGTACCAGTGTGGGTAGTACCAATGTGAAAATGCTGTGCTGAGTGGTTATATTACTACCTTAAAAAATAAGCAGAAACTCGACGTTTCGAGCGAAGGCCCTTCGTCAAGAGTTAGTAGCGTTAGTAGGCTACTAACTCTTGACGAAGGGCCTTCGCTCGAAACGTCGAGTTTCTGCTTATTTTTTAAGGTAGTAATATAGCCACTCAGCACAGCATTTTTGTTGTATAATAGCCTGTAATGTTTCAGCACTTCTACACTTGTTTTCAATTTCTTTTACTAACTCTATATTTTATTTAAAGACTATTTATATTATATGTTTTAACTTTTTATTATCCATGTTTTAACTATTTATAATATATTTTTAAAATATTTAAAGGCTATATATGTATATATAAAGGCTATATATGTATAACTATTTTAACTGTATTAATGGAACATATTTTAACTGTATATTTAATATGTTATTACTATTTTTAATCTATTTGGGCCATATTATGTCCACTATTTATTATCTATTTTTAACAAGCTGGGACGTATTTTAACTATTTATTATCTATTTTTAAACTATATTATTACTATTTTTGAACTATTTATTAACTATTTTAAACATTGTTGAAACTCATTTCAGCTATTTATTACATATTTTTTACCTATATTGTCACTATGTTTTAACTATTTCTTATATATTTATTAACTATGTCGAAACTCTTTATTTTTAATAATTCCCCTAAATAGCCCTATTTTTATTATATTTGAAACCTATTTAATTTCTATTTGAGTACATCAATCAACCATTTGTTTAGAAATATATCATAAATAGGAAAAAAATATGGTTCCACTTGGATAGGAAAAAAATAGCCTTTCTACCCTAATTTAAATAGGAAAAACCTCGAGAAAAAATAATAGTAAAAATAGGGAATAAATACTTTGACAAATAGGAATTAAATAGCCCAATAAAATAGGAAATAAATAGCAATTAAATAGTGTTGGATTCTACAAGGGTGGTTAATTAGTTTTCTAGAAAATAGTATACAAAGAGTAATGGGTGATGGAATTGTTACAGAATACTTATATATTAATCGTGAAGCTGCCTGTTTACAGGATTGGGCGGAAGAGAATAGAATGCCCTTAAACTTGGAAAAAACGTATGAAATGGTTGTTCGCAGACACACCTCTGTAGTTTTGCCTGAGCTTATCCCTTCAATTAAGCAAAAAACAAGGCTAAAGCTTTTAGGTGTTACTCTACAAGATAATCCGTGCAATTGGGATTTGCACTTCGAAGAAATGTTCAAAAAAGCAAGTGGACGAATGTACATTATGAGAGTTTGCAAATACTATGGACTATCAATTAAACAATTAGATCTGCTGTTTGATAGCCTAATTATGTCCATATTCACTATTGCTATTGAGCTGTGGGGTTGTGCATATGACGGTAAATATTTGAACCAAATAGATAAATTCGTTAAACGTGCACATAAGAATGGTTATATATCAAAACGAACACACATTAAAGAAATACGTGATAAGAGAGATAAGAAACTGTGGAACAAAATAACATCAACTGAGGACAATGCATTGCTTGAACTGCTGCCGGAAAAAAGAAGTAGGTTACTTAGGCCAAGAGGGCATGAGTATGAACTCTCCCTAGTGAGAACAGAAAGATTCAAAAGGTCGTTCATAAATCGTTGTCTGTATAACTTTGTTTAGACTTTAATGTATTTAAAACATTTTAAAACTTGCTCTCGTCGCTGTAAAAATTACGTATTGCCCGTGGGCAATACGGGAAAATCCTGCCTCGTCAGCAGCCAATCAAATTGCGCGATTTATCAAAACAAATGCTTGCCATATAATAAAATATTATATTTTTATACACATAGTTGGCTAAAGTATACAGTATGTAAATAATAATAAAATATAGCAACGTAATATAAGCATGTCCTACACCGAATGACACCCTTCCTTCCCTGTATAACCACCCTACACCATCATACACCATCTGACAACCATCAGACACACTTCGACCATCATACACCATCATACACCATCTGACACCCTTCGACTATCATACACCATCTGTACCATCTTCAAGATTTGACAACCCTTCCCAGTATAACCACCCTGCACCATCATACACCATCTGACAACCATCTGACACACTTCGGCCATCGTACACCATCTGTACCATCTGACAACCCTTCCATGTATAACCACCCTACACCATCATACACCATCTGACAACCATCTGGCACGCTTCGACCATCATACACCATATATACCATCTTCACCATCTGACAACCGTTCCATGTATAACCACCCTACATCATCATACACCATCTGAAAATCACATCTGACACACTTCGACCATCATACACCATCATACACCATCTGACACCCTTCGACCATCATACACCATCTGGACCATCTTCACCATCTGACAACCCTGTGATGATGACGTCAACGTCACATACCGTATATAGACAACAATGCTTTGCGAGGACATAAGCTATACTGCATGGCGAACAGAGCATGGCGAGTTTGATATTATTGTATTTGAAAAACAACTTATAGTTAATAAAGCTTGGATATTACATTTGGCGACGAGGATTTTAAATGTTGTTTACTATGGCTGCAAGAGTAGACCTTCCATCGATGCCACAGTTTGATCCTCATGTAGATTACAGCAGTTTAGCGACACGATGGGAACAGTGGCTTAAGCGATTTCACCTTTATCTTCGAGCTGAAAAAATCACCGATAAAACACAACAACGAGCCCTTCTTCTATACATGGCTGAGCCCCAAGTACAAACAATATTTGAACGCTAGCTAATACTGGAGGTGACGATGACTTCAAAACAGCGGTTGAAAAACTGACAGAATATTTCATGCCAAAAAAAAACCTCGAGTATGAGATTTATATATTTCGCCAAGCCCGACAAACGACTGACGAAACATTGGATCAGTACCACACGCGCATTCGAAAGCTTGCTACAACATACGAGTTTACCGATGCTGATCGAGAAATTAAACACAAATCATACAAAGCTGCGTTTCTACGCGTCTTCGGAGAAAAGCGCTTCGTGATTCAACGCTTACTCTGAGTGCCTTACTCGCTGAAGGTCGTTCGTTGGAAGTAAGTGAAAAACAAGCTAAAGGCATCGAGAAATCCCTCGCTGCCATCAAGATCGACGAAAAACTTCCTACTGAAATCGACGATAGTGTGAATGTCATCCAACATCAACAACGCCAACAACCGCCGTACGCTCGTCGGGAAACAGTGATACCCAAGTGTTATTATTGCGCGTTAGATTATCCTCACAAGAACAATAGCTGCCCAGCGTATGGCAAAGAATGCTCGTTTTGTCATAAAATGAACAAGGGCAGATTTCGTTTTAAGCCAATCAGCGCGATGGTTTACATTTTCGCTCTTGACCAATCAGAATGCTTAAAATCTAAAAACGTAAACGAAAAGAGCGAGCAAATATTATCGTAATCCAAGGCTTCCGTGAGCTGCAATATAAACTTTTTTTACCCGAAACCGAACGATTCTGATAGAAAATACCTATATCTTGAACTTTGTCGTAGGACTTTTTAAATTTCGACACAGAACGCGAAATATCGATGTTTGAATTACCGCCGTCATTGCGCTCTGTAGTCGTATATCGTATCGTCAAAACCGATCGATCTTTGAGAAATAACGCTGTTTTCATTGGGAAGATTTTGTAGTTTTTCTTCCGTTTTATAGTGCATGCATATTCTGGTATAATTTACTGTACCTCTGATCGTGTTGTCAGAAATGCGTCAAAAAGTTATATTATATGGAATATCATATCCGGTTTCTTGTTCACTCTCGATACACGCGCCTGTTCCACGCGCCTGTTCCTTGATTGATTTCGTCCATAAATACAGTATGTGCTTGTTTGTCTTAAATAATTTTCAATGACGAAACATCGAAACAGTATCTATAGACGCGCCAGTGCAAATAGGTGGAACCATAAGCTACAGCACAGTGTTTATCTTGGTGTCGATGTCGTTTCCAATGTCGGATTCCTTGCAGCAAATATGTATCGATTTCCCTTTCGTTTTCTCCATCTTCTGGCTGGATCTCGTGCTCATCATCATCGTCGTCTGCTTCGCTTTCGTCGTCGCTTTCTGTGTTTTCTGTCTCGTCTTCGTTCTCCTGTAAAGTTGCTCTCAGATCGTGGTTGAAAACAGCCTCGTTCGCTACCTTGCCATGCAAGGACCTCGAGCTTTGTCAGCAATGTCGCCTGACAAATCTGGCAAACACTTATTTCAGGCAAAACACATTCAATGTGGAAAGAATGACCACAACTACGAAATACTTTCCACAGGGGGCTTTCTTTCTCGCATTCAGGTAAATCATATTTTCTATGACGTAAATATAGTAAGTTACTTGCAACCTATTTAGATATACTGTCTGTCCGAATTGCTTTTTTTGTTTTTTTTAGATCTTCGAAAATTTCCACTCGGTCCTAAGAGCAAAAACAAAAGAAACAGATTCAGCTGACCAGATTGCACTCAATCAAAAGAGATTGATGCATGCAAGCATGAACTGCATTCTTTTAAGTCTGTCTTTGTGCCAACTAAGAGATTCAACTACAGCTCAAAGAGAATTATACTCAAAGGGAAGATATAAGGCAGCAAAATTTATTGCAAGCAAGTTTGAATCTCAAATGACCACCCTAACATGGCAACCCAGCAACCCTGAGTTCGACAGCAACCCAAATATCTAGATCTGACCAAATGGAAACTGCCAACTGTATTTGGAGAAAAAATTGTGAACAATCGAGTCCTGCCACTAGGCTTTACTTCTGTTCAACAATCCAAACAGGTAAAGGCAAAATATCAATATATGGATTATGGTGGGGGGGGACATGCTCACAGTATTCTGTTTGTGAATACTGTCAAACAAAATTAAAGTGCCACACTTTCCACTTGACGGGTAAGATTGTCTGGTGTTAGACATAGTATTTAAAATAATAAAGTAGGGTGCATTGTAGTTTAATGGGTTAACAGTACATATTGGCGGATTGTCATTAGTTAACCCATTAAACCACAAGGCTTTCACCTAGATGTTGAGTAAAATTGTCAGACAGCAGTGCATTTTATTGTGGTTTGATGGCTAATTAAACTCAAACATACAAAATTAACATTATATCTACTTATCCTCCTTATTTAACCATTTTCCACATTCAAAGGGGAATTACATAAAAATATAGTACTTGTTGCAAAATAAAAGAATGTTTAAAAATGTACCCAAATTATTCTAATTAATATATTGTTCCAATTTTAGATTTTTAGAACACGCCATGCGAAATGTATGTAAAAACTGAAGTATTTATAGAAAATTTTATTAATTCCATACAAATTAAAATTAAAGAAAAGGGACCTACAAACAAACATTAAAATTCTTGAAACAAAGATCTAAAAAACGAAAAAAGCAATAGACCTTTCCAAGGTTTCTACCGCCATATTGCAGGGGGTGCAAAAACATTGGGGCGAGCGCGCGGCCACCAATGGCGCCCATACTATTTCCTATTGAGTGAGTGAAAATTACCTTTTGACATTTTGTCCTTTTTCTCAAAAAATTTCTATACATATCCAATTTTCATTTTTAGATAATCGCTGGGTTTTTTCTGATATGTGGCCGAGATTTCTTGCTAATCGAAGGATAGGAAGTAATAAAAAACGGCGGCTTTTGTTGCACAACTTGACCGACGTTTGAGCGATGATTCTTGTTATTTCGTTTGTTTAACCGATCTTTGGAAGAATATTTGTCCATTAAGTGTGTTGTAAGTCCTTTGGTGTCCGCCATTATTACTGTTTATATTTGTATATTTGTACAAAAATCATCGCTCAAACGTCGGTCAAGTTGTACAATAAAAGCCGCCGTTTTTTATTACTTCCTGTCCTTCGATTAGCAAGAAATCTCGGCCACATATCAGAAAAAACTCAGCGATTATCTAAAAATAAAAATTGGATATGCTTGTATAGAAATTTTTGGAGAAAAAGGACAAAATGTCAAAAGGTAATTTTCACTCACTCGATAGGAAATAGTATGGGCGCCATTGGTGGCCGCGCGCTCGCCCCAATGTTTTTGCACCCCATGCAATATGGCGGTAGAAACCTTGGAAAGGCTTATTCGGACAGACAGTCTATCTAAATAGGTTGCAAGTAACTTACTATATTTACGTCATAAAAAATATGATTTACCTGAATGCGAGAAAGAAAGCCCCCTGTGGAAAGTATTTCGTAGTTGTGGTCATTCTTTCCAAATTGAATGTGTTTTGCCTGAAATAAGTGTTTGCCAGATTTGTCAGTCGACATTGCTGACAAAACTCGAGGTCCTTGCATGGCAAGGTAGCGAACGAGGCTGTTTTCAACCACGGTCTGAGAGCGACTTTACAGGAGAACGAAGACGAGGCAGAAGACACGGAAAGCGACGACGAAAGCGAAGCAGACGACGATGATGATGAGCACGAGATCCAGCCAGAAGATGGAGAAAACGAAAAAGGCAATCGATACATTGCTGCAAGGAATCCGACATATTTGATAACGACATTCACACCAAGATAAACACTGTGCTGTAGCTTATGGTTCCACCTATTTGCACTGGTACTTTGTCTATAGATACTATTTCGATGTTTCCTCATTGAAAATTATTTAAAACAAACAAGCACATACTGTATTTATGGACGAAATCAATCAAACAGCTCGAGGAACAGGCGCGTGTATCGAGAGTGAACAGGAAACCGGATATGACATTCCACTTTTATTATCACCGCCCCAGATCACCGCCCAATATAACTTTTTGACGCATTTCTGACAACACGATCAGAGGTACAGTACAGTAAATTATACCAGAATATGCATGCACTATAAAACGGAAGAAAAACTACAAAATCTTCCCAATGAAAACAGCGTTATTTCTCAAGGATCGATCGGTTTTGACGATATGATATGCAGCTACAGAGCGCAATCACGGCGGTAATTCAAACATGGATATTTCGCGTTCTTTGTCGAAATTTAAAAAGTCCCACGACAAAATTCAAGATATATGTATTTTCTATTAGAATCTTTCGGTTTCGGGTAAAAAGAGTTTATATTGTAGCTCACGGAAGCCTTAGATTACGATAATATTTGTTCGCTCTTTTTGTTTACTTTTTTAAATTTTAAGCATTCTGATCGGTCAAGAGCGAAAATGTAAACAAACGCGCTGATTGGCTTAAAACGAAATCTGCCCTTGTTCATAAGATGAATCATGTTGCAAAGGTTTGCAAAAGTAGCCAAAATCGAGATCAAAATAAATTTCCTCAACAGCCTCGCTCATCACGCCAATTGAACAACTCGTCAATTAACACTGTTAATAGACAGCACACTGACGATGAAAGCAACTCATCCTCGGAAGATGAATACGTCTACACGGTGAACACAAGCTCAGTAGTTGCGTCCAAGGACAATTTGACTGCCAAATTAAAGATCAATCGGACGAATTTTCGAGCACTCATCGACACCGGACCGTCTATCAACATTATAGACTAGCCGACATTTCAACACTTATGTAAACAAAAACCTATTAAAATACATCGTTCAAAAGCACGAATATATGCGTATGCTGCACAATCGCCGCTTCCTATGCTGGGAGTATTCGAAGAAATCATCGAATCGAAGACAAAGATGACAACCGCCAAATTTCACGTCGCAAAAAGGGACAATGGCAACTTACTTTGCTCAGAAACTGCAGCAGAACTCGGATTAATAACATTGAACATACACAATGTAAACAAAGACAAACCGGAAGTACACACAACTACAAAAGTAAACACAACTGCGAAAGTGCCAAACGAATTCACACCTGAGGCAGAAGCCACTGAATTCATTCAAAGTCTGACAAATGAGTACGAGGATTTATTCAGAGGAATTGGGTGCCTGGAAAACTTCGAACATAAGCTACACATAGACCCTAACGTCAAGTCAGTTGCGCAACCAGAAAGGCGTATACCATTTCACATCCGGGAGAAAGTAACTCACGAAATGGACAAGTTAACAGAGCAAGGTATCATCGAACCCTATTCTGGCCCAACTCTCTGGGTCTCGACCCTAGTCGTTGTACCAAAACCGAAGAACCCAGAAGAAACAAGAATATTTGTTGACATGCGTATGCCCAATACAGCGATAATCCGTGAGCGCCATCCCATGCCTACTGCTGACGAACTTATCCACAAGCTAAATGGCGCAAAAGTCTTCTCAAAACTCGATCTTCGCCACGGATACCACCAAATTCTCTTAGCTCCTGAGTCTCGTTACATTACGACCTTTCGTACCCATAAAGGACTGCACCGCTATGTCCGACTTAACTATGGCACATCGGCAGCATCAGAAGTTTTCCAGTATGCTATAAGCCAAGCCATTGCTGGCATTGACGGAGTTGTCAACATCAGTGACGATATACTCATGTTCGGTAAAACACAGCTTGATCATGACACAGCCCTTAAAACTGTATTTGAGCGATTGCGACAAGTCGGCCTCACCCCCAACAAATCGAAATGTGCTTATAACAAGGGTACATTGGAGTTCTTTGGCATGATTTTCTCAGCAGATGGCGTCAGCCCGGACCCAAAGAAAATAGAAGCTATCGTCAATGCTCCCCGTCCAACCAATGTGAGTGGAGTCCGCAGCCTGCTGGGTGTGACGAATTACTGTTCAAAGTTTATTGCAAACTATGCAAGCATTACAACGCCCCTTCGACAACTCACAAAGAAAAATGCGAAGTTCCAGTGGCTACCAGTCCATGAAAATGCCTGGAAAACACTAACAAAAGCTCTGACTTCAGCTCCAGTTATGGCATACTTTGATATTACCAAATGCACAGAACTCATAGTCGATGCTAGTCCAACTGGTTTGAATGCTATATTACAGCAGCATACGCCAGGAAACGAAGACCACAAAGTGATTGCCTATGCAAGTCGAGCACTCAGTCCCGTCGAACAAAGATACAGTCAAACCGAACGTGAAGCCGTCACCATTGTTTGGGCAATGGAAAGATTTCATATTTATACATATGGAACAGAATTTGTACTGTATACAGATCACAAACCATTAGAGTTGATCTGCAATAACCCTAAGTCCAAATCTCCTGCACGGATCGAGCGATGGTTCCTACGTCTTCACATATACCGTTTTCGAGTCCAATATAGCCACGGGAAGGACAATCCCTCAGATTATATGTCTCGACACCCCCTGAACACAAGTGCAACACATCGTCAAGGCGAGTTAGCAGAAGAGTACATCTCCTTCATTGCACAGCACACTACTCCCAAGTCCATCAGCCTGGAAGAAATTAAACAGCAAACGAACGAAGATGCAACCCTGCAGATTGCTTTGAAATATATTCAGAATGGAAAGTGGCATGAGGCATGCAACTTGAC